GGGCAAAACTTTCCACTCCTCACCTCACTCCCCCCCCCCCCCCCCTTCCCCGCTCCCCTGTCGCTCTTCACACATGGCTGTGTTCTCGAAAGCGGCCTTTGGCTGCTGCTACGTGGTGGCCGTCCTCGTCGTCTTCTCGCTGCTCTTCTTCCCGCTGGCCTGGTTCTGGCCACAGTGGAATCTAGATCATGAAGGGCATGACGATTGTGTGGTTTCTGAACCAATTATTGATGACTACACTCTTCAGTTCAAAGTCACCCTCACCGTCGATGGCATCACGTACTACAACGTTACTGCAGGTTGGGATCTCGAAGACCGGCCCATGGGCGCATGGTCGTGCAGGTCCGTCTCGGACAATCTTGGCGAAAAGTTCCAGAAGCACATGCAAGTCGGCGATCGGTTGACGTGTTGGACCAAAAAGGGCGCCATCAAGGCTGGGACCACACAGGCGTCGGACATCCGGGTTCTTGTCTGGCCCGAGCTCGTCCGCAACTGTTGGATCCGCTACGCCATGGCGTCCTGGGTCGTCTCGTCGGTCATGATTCTTGGCGGCCTGCTGCTCCTCACCATCAAGCTCTGCGAGATTTCCGACCGCCCGGCATCCGACGCGTACCAAGACCTAACCCAGTGCTGCGTCGTCTTTGGCCGCTCGCAGATGCTCATCTGGATTGCTATTGCTTTTGCCATCTTTCTCGGCTGCTACTTTGGAGTCGTCTTTCCACGCATTGCCGACAAGGCCACGTGCCGGGTCAATGACAAGGGCCGCCGTATCGAGTGTTTCATGTGCTGGAATGCCAAGGACGGCCACCGTGGCCCCCAGGCGACCATCAACTGGTGCTCAAAGACCTCGATGTGCAAGGCCTCGCTCCTCGGTGACGGCTCGCTCTACCGCGCCTGGGTCGCCGTCGACTACGCCATCGAAGGCAAGCTCTACTCGGCCATTGCCGACTGGGACGTCCGCGGCTCGCTCGAGTCGCTCAAATCAAAGCTCTTCGCCAAGGGCAAGAAGGAGAAGGTTGAGCCGTTCCTCAACGGCATTACTGTCGGCTCGGAGATCGACTGCTGGGTCACCCGCTACTCGAACCGCGTCTACCTTCGCGACCCGTCCAAGCAAGGCTCATATGTTGCCGCCCTTGTCTGCGGCATCATTTTCTTTATCGTCGCCATGGGCATTGCCATGTGCTTCTGCCTTGGCGACCACATGTACCCTTGGCTGTGACACTCAACTGCGCGCCTCAATTGAACACCACACCACGCCCATCCCATCAATGGCCAAAGTCGAGCATGACCACGCCGTGGTCCCGGTCCGAGTAGAGCCAGACGATGGCGACGTGCGGCGAGAGGTCATCGAGCAAGGAGTACATCTTGTCGAGGAGGACACGGTACTTGCCGTGCCGCCGGCGAAGCTCAACCCGGGCCGTCGCCACGTTGGCTCGGCTTGTGTTTGTCGCTGCGTCGTAGAGGACCGAGCCCGGAATCTTGGGCATCGCCACCAGGACCATGGCCTCGGGCTCGATCGTCGCGCCGAGCAGAGCCAGCCGCTTGGCCAGCACGCCGCGCGCCCGGCCGATCATCTCGGCCTCACTGGACCCGCCCGGGCCGGCGCTCTTGGTCACCGCGTGGGCAGCAACGGCGTCGACATCAACGCTGGCCGGTCGAGCGGACTTGGGCGACGGCACCGGCTCGCGCGACGGCGGTGGCGCGGCATGTGCCGGCGGCGGCGCAGCGTGCATCGCCTCGAGAGCAGCAAGGCTAGGGTTGAGCACGCCGGCAGCCGCGCACTGCGCCATGGCGTCGGTCCGCACCCGCCGGATGATGGTGGCGGCGACGACAGGATCGGGCGCAATCGGCGCCTCCTTGAGAATGGCCACGTCAACCAGTCGGAGCGAGACGCTGCGATCGCGGAGGCCGGCCTTGGACTCGGGCGGCTTGTCGACAAGGAGCAAGTACGGCACCAGGTTGGCCTTGGCCTCTTCGGCGGCGTGCGCAATCGAGACCGCCTCGTCGTATGCAAGCGTGGCCGCCACTCCGTTGTGCCGCAGCTGGTCGGCAACCCATAGCCGGAGGCGGGTGAGGTGGGCGCGAAGCCGCGACGAGCGCTTGTTGCCCTCTGGCGGCGCAAGGGTCACGACCATGGCATCGGCGGTGACCGCGAGCACGTCCTTGCCAAGCACTGCGGCTCTTGCGCGCAGCACCTCGGCACGCGGGCCAGAAACATCAGCGGCGGCTAGGCCGGAGCCGGTTCCGGCGGCGTCGGCCACCACCATCGAGGTTGAGCGGGCGAGCTTGTTGCGGCGCTTCTTCCGTCGCCGGCGCATGCTCTGATCCATCGAGGCCATGGTTCCGAGGTCGGCGTTGACCGAGGTCGACGACACAATGCGCCGCGAGGCACCGCCGGCCTGGTCCGACACCACCCGCCGCTGCCGCATGGTAACCAGCGCACCGACGTCGGCCATCGACTCGTGGAGCTGCTCGTACACGACACTCGCCAGCTTTTGGACGTACACGACCGAGCCGAGGGCGACGGCCGAGACTGGCGCAAGCTCCTCCGAGTACGCCACCAAGTTGACGAGGCGAGTGTACTCGCCGCCACGGGCAAGGACGGCCCAGCGCGGCGGCTCGTGCTTGGTCGCGCCAGGCACCGACTTGGCGAGCGCGTACATGATGCCCGAGTGGGCCTGGTAGCCCGCCAAACAAGTGAGGTCCAGAAGGATCGGCAGCTCCCAGCCCATGTACGACGCGTGATCGTGGACCATGCGGAGGCAGGCAAAGACCGGCGCGAGCGCGGGCACCAGCTCCACGAGCGGGTGCAGCTGCGAGAGCATGAGCGCGAGCGGGCCGCGGAGACCCTGGCCCAGCATCGAGTCGAGCTGGCTAAGTGCAGCAGGCGTCAGCTTGGGCATCACGTCCGGCAAGAGCGTGCGAAGCAGCGGCCAGCCGCCGGCGCCGTGCTCGCTAAATGCAGTCGCGAGCGGCGAGAGCATCGACGCCGGCACACCAGCGAGCGAGGCAATCGACTCAAAGAGCGCCACGTGGTTGACATACAGCGCGTAGCCTTCGAGGTGTGGCGAAAAGGCGGAGACCATCTCGTCGAAAACACCGAGAAGCTCAACAAGCGCGCCGACAATCGGCGGGCGGTCGGCCGGCATGGCGCGCATCGACTTGAACGAGGCCGAGAGGTGCGGCGTGGTGCCGGGCATGCCGCCGACAAACTGAGGGCCGAGAGGGTATGCTGCGGGCTGCCACGGGTCGGCTTCCTCTTCGGCCGCGCTCCGCTCTGGGACTGGAACAACAATGTCAAAGGTGTAGCCGAGCTCAAAGCCGGCGGCGGTGGTGGCCGAGACGTGGCGCGGCGGTGGCGGTTTGTCGTCGACAGCCTGCGAGCTTGCCGCGGAGCCGCTTGCGGCCGGCGCGTCGGGCGCGGCCGACTTGGTAGGCGGCGCCGAGTACATTTGCCCGACGCCGTGGCGGCGAAAGTCGGTGACACGGTGGCGGGCAATAAAGCGGGCAAAGGGTGTGGTGAGTGAGGCCGGGAGATGGAGGATCTGGCCAGTCGAGTCGATGAACCGGTGCTTGGCGGCGTGGTCGAGGTCCGACGCGAGCAGCTCAAAGCCGAGCTGGGCGTAGAGGACCGGGACTTCGACGCGGACCATGCCGTGCGACGAGCCGAGCGAAGCGAGGACGTCGACAATGCGGGTGAGAAGCGTCGAGTGGAAGCGGCGCTTGGCGGCGTGATGGAGGCCCGACTTGGACGACGAGACCGAAGGCGGGTTGGTGACGCGGTCATGGGCGGCAAAGACAAAGAGTGACTCGAGAAGGGCACGGCGGTACTTGGACTGCTCCTTGGCGGCGATGACGTCGATGACTTGTGAGACAAGCATGTCTTCTTCACGAATGGGCATGTGCTCGGAGCGGAGGACCTGGGCGGCGGTGGGGCGGGCGGCGGCGTCGGCCTGGGTGAGGGCGAGGACGAGTGCGGCAACCGAGGGCCACTCGTCGGCAAAGGCTTGCGGGAGCTGGTGGGCCTCGCGGAGGCGTGAGATGGTGATGACCCGATCTGTGCCCGAGGTGAAGGGCAGGAAGAGCTCGAGGAGGATGATGCCGAGTGCGTACATGTCCACGGCTTCGGTGTAGGTGGCCGACGTTGCCGACGTAACTTCTGGTGCGCGGTAGATGGGCGTACCGATGCCGCGGGTCATGTTGTCGTCGGCGCCGCTCAGCTCGAGTTCGTGGATCATCATGTCCGGGTCGGGCAAGAGTGTGCCGAGTTCGCCGAGCTCGTCAGCCTCGTGGACTGGGGCGAGTGTAGTGCCCGAGGTGCTGGCAAGCGGCGGGGCGGCTGGGGCGGGCGTGGGCACGTTGTCGGTGGCGAGACCAAAGTCGCCGAGCTTGACCACCGAGTTCATGTCGAGGAACACGTTGTCGGGCTTGAGGTCACGGTGGATGATGCCCATCTCGTGGAGGTAGGCAAGACCCTCGGTGATCTGGCGGAGGAGCTTCCACTTTTCGTCGGTAGTGAGGATGGCCTCGTCGATGAGGGTCCTCAGCGTGCGGTGCGAGCAGTACTCCATCTGGATAAAGAGGCACTGTCGCTGGCGAGCGGCGGGGACGCCAAAGGCGAGGCCGGCACGGTTGGTCTCCAGGACGGTCTCGTTGAGATTGTCGTCATCGTTGTTGTCGTCGTCATCGCGGGCACCTCCTCCAAACTGAATGAGGTCGCTCGGCAGGTTGGCCGCAGGCTCACCGTCGTCGTCCGAGTAGTACTCGTACTCGTCGTCGGCCGAGATGTGACCGTGGACGCCTCCTCCAAAGACAACAGCGTCTTGGTCAGCGTCATCGTCCGAGTAATCGTCCGAGTACTCGGAGCCCGAGGCGAGCGAGCCGGCGGCGGCCGAGAGGGTGGTGTCAAAGGAGAAGCGGGCGATGTTGTCCATCGAGGCCGAGGGCGTGATGGGGTTGGCGAGCGGCGAAAAGGCAAAGTCAAACGGCTTTGAAGCATCAGGCTCTGCGCCGGGAAAGGCGAGCAGGCCGCGAGCCGAGTCAAGGGCGTCAGCCGGGTCTGCCGGCGAGTCGGAGGTGTCGTCGTCCGAGTACGACGGGTCGGCGTAGTCCGAGTACCCGGGCTCGATGTCGGCCTCGTCGACGTACTCGATCCAGGCCTGAAAGTAGCGGACGACGTACTGGTGGTTGAGCTTTGAGAGGGTGATGACCTCGCGGCGGATCTTGGAGTCTGTAACCGAGTCAAAGCCGTCGAGAACAACCTTTTTGACGGCGTAAAGGCGGCCGTCGAGCCGGTTGCGGACTTTCCAGACCGAGCCAAAGCCGCCCTTGCCGAGCATGCCGATTTCCTCAAAGTCGGCGGCATAGCGCGAGTAGCCGCTCGCACCCGCCGTCAGCGGCAAGGTGCCTCCGGGCGAGCCGATCGGGTGCGGCGTCGTGTTGGAGAGGAGCGATGAGTCTCCTGGCGACTGGGAGGGGAAGAAGGCGCGCATGGTGGGCGAGAGGCCGGTGCCCGAGTCAAAGCCAAGTGACGAGGCGTTGGACGAGACGCGGAGGTGGCCGCCAGGCGGGGTGGCGGCCGGCGACTCGAGGTCTGCCAGCCACGGATGAGCGAGTAGCGACTCGATCGAGGTGGCGGAGACGAGGCGAGTTGCCGACTTTCGGCGGGCGGGTGCAAGGGTGCCGACCGAGAAGCAGGCCTCGAGAAATGAGACCGCGAGCGGCGAGGCGCCCGGCGGCGAGGGCGGAACCTGCTTGCGGGCGGCAGACTGCGGCGGGGCTGGCACACCGGAGAGGAGCTCGGAAACAAGAATGCCGAGCGCCCAGACGTCGCGGGCGAGTGCGGCGGCGGCGGCGTCGATGCGGCGGGAGAGGGCTGATGAGCCCGGCCCGGCCCGCGACGACGACCGCGACGAGCGGTCGAGGCTTGCGGCGTCGTCAGACGAGGTGAGCATGTCGAGCATGGGCTGGAGGCCGTAGCCCCAGAGCTTGATGCGACCGTTGGTATTAACGACAGTGGCGGCGGAGAGGAGGCCATGCGAGAAACCGGCGGCCGAGAGAGCGGCAAGGGCGTCGAGGATTTGGGCGACAAGCGGGCGGACAACGAGCTCAGAAAACGCGTGTCCGGTAAACGCCGAGAGGGCGACCGAGACCTCAAAGTCGGCCATGGCCAGCGTGGCAGTGTGTGCGCTCGTGTCAAGGAAAGCGTCACGCCAAGGCACAAGCGCCGGGTGGGTGATGAGCGACGGCATGGCAGACAGTTCCTTGACGCGGAGGGTGAGCGAGGAGGCGAGCATGAGGTCGACGACCGGCGAGAGCTGCATGTCGATGAGGACGACAGGCACGCCGGCGTTGGAGGCACCGTGGCTAAGGGCGGCAAAAAAGTCCGGAATGTGCGGGACGTGGACGCTTTCGGAGCGCGAGTAGACCGGGGCGCGCTTGCGCGGCGAGGCGTGCGGAGTGTTCTCGGTTGACGAGATGGGCGACGAGCCGGCCGAACCATGTGGCGAGGCCGACGACGGAGCTCCGCCGGCATCGGGCCCGCCCTGGGAGGGAACCAGGACGCGAAGATTGATCTTGCGGGCGGCACGCGGGCGGGGGGGCGTGCCGAGGTTCCGACCGCTGTCCAGTTGAGGCCAGACGGGTCGGTAGCTGCGACCGGCTCGTGATGGGCGGCGCGGAGCGCGGGCGAGGCTGGCGAGCGAAGCATGGGCGAGGCTACAACCGGAACAGGCGAGGCTAGAGGCGACGGACCGTCGTCTGGAGCCGACGAGGCAAACGGCGGGCGTGACGGCGAAGCGACAGTCTTTGTCCGCTCGAGCATTTCCTCGCGGAGCGAGCGGGCCTCGGTATTGTGCTCGGAGACGTAGTTGCGGAGCTCAGAGGCGAGATCAAAGATGACAACGTCGCCAGTCGCCAGAGCCTCGTCGATGAGCGGAACGAGAAGGTCGTTCATGATCTTCTCGCAGTCTGCCTCGTCAGCGCCTTTGAGCGGAACGAGATCGACATGAGGACGTTGCCAGGGATAAGAGCGCGAGTATCGAACAATGAGCTTGAGCGCAGTATGAACACCGGGAGTGTTCTCTGGATCAGAACCAGGAGGCGCATCCGGAGGCAGAATGGTAATGGCAAAGTGAGCAGGTGAGGTATCGGAGACTCTCTCCAGTTCGTCACCAAAGACCGACTCGAGGACCACCAGCTCGTCCGCTTGCTTGCTCCCTGGAGATGCCGACGCGTCTTCCGGCACAAGTCCCCCCTCAGTGTGGTGGCCATGGTGATTTTGGGAGGATAGGTGGGGAGGGGTGGTGGGTGGGTGGGTGGGTGGGTGGGTGGTGGTGGTGGTGTGACCTGTGTTTGTCAAGTTGTGGTGACTGACTTTGACGTGGCGGGGGGGCGCGGGGGGTGAACGGGAGAAAGGGGAGGGGGTGGGGGAAGGGAAGGCAAATCAAGTGCGACGTGGCTGCAGTGGTTGTGACGGCTGGAGCCTGTAATTGGATATCTATGTATGTATGTAGATCCCGGATCGATATCGATCGATACCTCCTTATCAGGATGGGCCTATGTCATGGCCTGTGGAGATTGTGTAGATGGCGGGGAAGGGGGTGGGTGCCCAAGGCATGCATGACATCATCGTTCCAGTGTCTCGTCATCTCCGATGAGAGTCGGGACTCGGAGTCCGAGTCTGGACGGAGCCGACGCGGTGGCAGTGACAGTGTGGCAAGTGGCCGGCCCACGACTTGTCTGCCGACCAATCAAGGAGACCATGAGCGATAGTCAGGACGCAGGACGGAGTGTGACTCTCGGTACGCAGGGCCTGCCATGTATTCCCCGCCTCATCAATGGCATGCCATATGATTGATGTGGTTGTCAGAACTGTTGCGTGGAACGTAGCCATGCCTGGGGCTGAGCCAGCTTGGCTAGAGTCGACGGATGAGAGCGTTGGATCCGCGACGGGAGCAACGGGTGTTGGTGGTGGTGGCGGGCGGTTAGCGTGGCACGATGTGACTTATGGTGAGGATGTAGGGCTGATGTGTGGCGGGAATGGCAAGGTGGAGGATGCACAGGTTGCGCTGGATGATGCGATTGAGGCTGGGTACTCGTTTATGGTGACGCAACTTGTGCGGTATCCGCGGGCTGGCGGGAAGGGGAGCGGGGCGAGCTCGTCCCGGAGCTCGTCGGGCGGAGTGGTGTCTGCGGCGGTTCCGGAGGGCCTCACTCATAGCGACCTGGTGCTCCGTGATCTGCAGAACGCCAACTGCTTTGTGGGCATCATCGGCGACTGGCTGGATCTGGCGTACTCGGGCGCGCAAGTCGGCGGAGAGGACGTCAAGCACTCTGCGGCCGAGCTGAAGCGAGAGCTCGAGTGGGCGATCTACCTCGGGCTTCCCGCGGTGCTGCTGAACTCGCTGCCGGACTCGGCGTCTGCGCTGGCGCACCTGGCGATGCTCACGGTGGACTCGTTCCACACCATCCAGCTCCAGTTCCGCAATCTGTGGGTGCGGCTCTCTGTCGACTCGAACGAGGACCTTCGCAAGTTTGCGACGTTTCTCACGCTGGCGGCGCCGGTGTCATCGTTTGTGGGGGTGCTCCTCGAGCTCACACCGGAGCTGCCGGACGCGGGTATGCTCGCGCGGTGGCGCGGCGAGCCTGTTCGCGGCGTCCTCGTGCCGACCTCGCTGTTTGTCAAGAACAAGGCCGGGTACCCGGTCCTCCTCCGCGCCCATCAGGCGTTTGTCAAGTCGATGATCGAGATCGGGGCCCAGATCATTGTGCAGACGACCGACGGGACGCCGGCGAGCGAGGCGGCGGCGTACGCCGAGTACGTGGAGCACCTGGCGTCGACGATGGAGCCGTCGCCAGTGGGCGGGTACGAGGACGAGCTGCAGGCGCCGCTGCAGCCGCTGCAGGACAACCTCGAGTCGACGACGTACGAAACGTTTGAGCGTGACGCACCCAAGTACAAGCTGTACCGCAAGGCGGTGCGGCGTGCGCTCGCGGACCTCCCGGACAACCTTAGCGTTCCCGGGCAAGAGCCCAAGGCGCCGTACGTGGTGATGGTGCTCGGCGGCGGGCGCGGGCCGCTGGTTGCGGCGTCACTGGCAGCGGCGGTCGAGGCCGGACGGGCCATCAAGGTGTACTGCGTGGAGAAAAACCCGTCGGCGCTGCTCACGCTGCAGATGCGGGCCGAGGCTGAGTGGGGCGGCCTCGTCGAGGTCATCGGGTCGGACATGCGGGCGTGGCAGCCGACCGAGCTGGCCGACATCATTGTCTCGGAGCTGCTCGGCTCGTTTGGCGACAACGAGCTCTCACCCGAGTGTCTCGACGGGGCACAGCGGCTGCTCAAGCCGGGCGGCATTTCGATTCCGGCATCGTACACCTCGTACGCGGCACCGATTTCGGCACACAAGCTTCACACCGAGCTGCAGCGGACCACGTCGAGCTCGCCGTCGGTGGAGATCAACATGCAGACGCCGTACGTGGTCTACTTTTCCAATGTCCATGTCCTCGACGCGCCGCTCCCGGTCTTCACCTTTGACCACCCGAACGCCGACATTGCGGCCGGAGGCATGGCCGACAACACGCGGTTCACCTCGCTGAGCTTCACACTCCCGCACGATGCCACCATCCACGGCTTTGCCGGCTACTTTGACTGCGTCCTCTACAAGGACGTGGTCATGTCCATCAACCCAGAGAGCCACACGCCCGACATGTACTCGTGGTTCCCCATCTACTTTCCCATTCTCGAGCCCATCCACGGCAAGGCTGGCGAGCCGGTCGAGCTCCACATCTGGCGCAAGACCACGACGTCCAAGGTCTGGTACGAGTGGGCCTTTACATCGCCCGTCCCTACTCGGGTCCATAACCCGAAGGGAACGTCATCGCACATCGGGCTGTGAATGAATGAGACACCGATCTTTAGCCTGCTCTCTGGGAGGGAGGTGCCCATGGCTCGGGATGAGCCGTCATCGCCTCGGCTCGGGCAGAAACAGGGCTCTGTGCCACATGGTTAGGCGAGCGCACTTGCACTTGTCTGGACAAGAAAGTAGCGTCATGGAGAGTGTTACCAATCGGTCGACGACCAGCTGGCTGGCATGGCTGGGGCAGGTGGTGAGCCGGGTGGCGTGGTCTTGGCTGAGCTGGGCTTGGAGGCTGGTGCTGCGGGTGGTGACCGGGCGGAGCGCTCTGGAGCGATTGCTGGCGGCGACGAGAGACAACCAGGGAGGAGAGGAGGCCGAAGCGAGGCTGCGGGAAGTGGTGCGCGAGCTTGAGCGAGGTTGGAGGGATGCTGCTGAGAGAGTCCGCCAGCATGCGGCCGGCTGGTCGCTGCTGGAGGATGATCACGGCGTGCTCGACGATCTGCTGAGCAGCGAGACCGAGGCCGTGGTGAGTCGGTTTGCAGGCGGAGGCGATGGGCTGGTTGCGGCAAGGGGATATGATGCGGTCAAGGACGGGCTGCGGTACATCGGCGTCCGGGCAGCGCTCGATGAGGCTGTGGTGGCGCTCAAGGTCCCGTATGATCGGACCGACGCCGAGCACGAGGACAAGCTATTTGCGCTGTGGGATGCACTTCGTCCGGGACTGGATCGGCCAGAGCGGATCTCACCCAAGTGGGGCATGCTCGGCTTCCAGGGCCGCGATCCGGCAACTGACTTTCGCGGCATGGGCCTGCTCGCGCTCGAGCAGCTGCTCTTTGTGGCGCAGTCGAGCGGGACCGGGTACCTTGCGGTTCTCGCCTGCGCCGAGGCGTGCGACGAGGAGCCGTTTTACCCATTCGCCACCGCCGGCATCAACTTTACGGCCTTTGCGCTGGCAGCGCTTCGGCGTGGCGACCTCGACGGCGCGTTAATGGCAGCGGCGGCGGCCGTCGGCGCGCATCAGTGGACACTCGATGCGGCGATGGAGGTCTTCCACGCGTTCTATGCCCGGGCGCTCCTCGCCCTCCACGCCCAGTGGCGAGCCGAAATGCCCGAGGACATTATGGCCTTTCCGGGAGTCTCTGAGCGAGTCCAGGCCGCCATGGTTGCCAGGGTGCGGCGCGGCGATCTGAACGAGCTGCTGAGTCCTGGCTTGTAATGTGTGGAACGGCGCTTCGGCTGGAGCCGATGGAGCGGGGGTTTGACCGCATGCCGGTCACTTTGCCCACGTGCACTCGGCCAGTTTTGGTGCTGTCGTCAGCACTAGGCAAGACTGGTCATTACAGCCGTGGTTTTTTGCAGAGTTTCGGTTTTTGATTGGCAACCACATCGCCTTTTCTCCTTGATCAAGGACCACACTTTGAAGACTATCATGGCAGAGGCAACGACGACGCAAAAGGCAGTTGTGGCAACAGGCACGGGCGAGGACTTTGGATCGCACATTGTCATCGCGGACGTGGCAGCGCCGGCTGGAAGCCCCGCCGACGGATTTGTTCGGGTCAAGGTGGCGGCGGCTGCGCTCAACCCGGTCGACTGGAAGATGGTCAAGTACAACTTTCTGGTTGCGGTTGAGAACCAAGTGCTCGGATGCGATGTGGCCGGAACAGTGGTGGCGCTTGGCGCCGGGGTGGACGAGCTGGCTGTGGGCGACGAGGTCTTTGGCTTTCAGTCGATCGACATCGCCAACGGCACGTTCCAGGACGTGCTGGACATTCCAGCGTACCTGCTCCTCAAGCGACCGGCGCATCTGAGCGCGACCGAGGCCGCGACGCTGCCCGTGGCACTCTACACGGCCGTGTTTGGTATCTTCCGCGACCAGCCTGGCGCGGGCGCGTCGCACGCGTTTGAGCGCGATGCGGCCGGCGGCGCGCCGTTCCTGGTCTGGGGCGGCTCGTCGTCGGTGGGTCAGGTTGTGATCCAGCTTGCAGCAGCAGCCGGCTTTCATGTCATCGCGGTGGCATCGGCCAAGCAGCACTCATACCTGCGCGAGCTCGGCGCGGCGGTGACGGTCGACTACCACGATGACGACGTCGACGCCCAGATCAGAGCGGCGGCCGAGGCCGCTGGCGCTCCGCTGCGCTACGCGTTTGACACCGTTTCGGTGGCGACGACGCTGCGCAGCGCCAAGCTCCTGGATGCGTCTGCTGACGCGCCAGGCTTTGTCACCACCATCACGGACGTGCCCGAGGAGGCTGTCGCCAACGTCTCGGTCATCCACACGCTCATGGCCAACATCCACGCCGATGGCGACAAGAAGGCGTTCATGCTTGACGCACGGAAAAAGATTGCTGCGTGGGTCGCCGAGCTCCCCGTCAAGAGCAATCCCGTGACCGTCATCGGTACAACATGGGACGCAGTTCCTGCCGGTCTCGAGCGCCAGCACGCCGGCGTCTCCTGCACCAAGCTTGTCATCGATCGCGCCGAGGCTTAGCCGCTTCTCAACAACTCGTTCGGGCGCATTGTTACAGTAAACAAGTTTGTGAACGGATGAGCATCTTTCCTTGCCGCGTGCCTTGCCGTCGACGAGCTCACGAGTCGACGACGAGCTCACGAGCTCACGAGCCGACGAGCCGAAGCCCCTCCACCCCTTCCCCCCCCTCGCCGGTGATAG